GTTGAGGACAGAGGATGGACTGAACTCATTCTTCTATTCCTTCCATTCATGCGGCCTGTCTCCAGGATGAGTGTCAACATATCCAGTGAGGAACAGATAAACTGTGTCTTCCCTTGCTCACATATGGAAGAGGTTTCTGCTGTGTGAATCTGTGCATGTCCTCGTGGTGTCTGATTGGAGAAAGGCTGTCCCACATTCTTTCCCTTCAGATGGTCTACCTTAGGTGAACTCGTCATGGATAACTCACATACCAGAGTTTCAAAAGCTTTCTCTCCTTTCCTTACTTTGCTAAGTTTTCTCTCCTCTGTGACTTCTTCTGTGTGTCACGCGGGGACCTAACTGTGTAAATGCTTTCCCATATAGTCCTTACATTCCTAAGCGTTCTCTCCTGTGTGAACTCTCTCATGTCCAGTGAGGTCAGAGGACTGCAAAAATGCTTTCCCACACTGATTAAATTCCTAAGGTCTCTCGCCTGGGTGAATTCTTCCATGCTTATATTCAGTGCAGCAGACGAGGAAAACTTGTCCAACAGTTCTAACCTTCACAAGGTCTCTCTGTGCGACTTCTTCTCTATGCTGTGCAGGAAACTCATTCACTGAAGGTTTGACCACATTCCTTACCTTCATAAAATGTTTCTCTGATGTGTGGATTCTTCTATGTTCAGTGAATTCACCTGATGGCAGAAATGTTTTCCCCATTCCTGACCTTCACAGGTCTATCTCCTGTATGGATTCTTCCACATGCACTTAAGTCACCTGAGTGTACAAATGCTTTCCCCGTATTCCTTACATTCATAAGGTCTCTTACCTGTTTGAATTCTTACGTGTATATGTAGATTATTGGGTGAGAGAAAGTTTTCCCACAGTCTTGACACAAATAACGTCTCTGTCTTGGGTGAATTCTTCTGTGTCATGTGCGGGTTCGTGACTCTCTGATTGTTTCTCCACAATGATTACATTCATACGGTCTCTTTCCTGCGTGAATTCTTCTATGTCAAATAAGACCACGTGAGTGTTTAAGGGTTTTTCACATTCATTACTTTCACAAGGCATCTCTGCTGTGTGCATTCTCTTGTGTGTTCGGACGATGGTTTTGGCATTCAACATTTTTCCACATTTCTGACATTCATAAGGTCTCTCTCCTGTATGAATTCTTCTATGAACAATAAGGTTACTCGATTGTGCAAAAGTTTTCCCCCATTCCTTCAATTCCTAAGGTGTCTCCCCTGTGTGAATTCTCTTATGTCTACGGAGATGGGGCATGTCATTAAAGGTTTTCTAGCATTCCTCAGGTCTCTCTCCTGTGTGAATTATTCTGTGTCTACGTAGGCTTGACAGGTCGTAAAAGGCTTTTCCACACTCCTCACACCCATACAACCTCTCTCCCATGTGTGTTCTTCTATGGATACACAAATAGACTGGCTGTAAAAACGTTTCCCACACTCCTGGCATTCGTAAGGTTGCTCTCCTGTGTGAGTACTTCTATGAGAAATGAGACCCTCTAAATGTTTACCCACATTCATGACATTCAAAAGGTCTCTCTCCTGTGTGAAATCTTCTATGTAACGTGAGCGAATTTGACTGCGTAAAGTTTCCCCCACGTTCCTGACATTCCCAAGGTCTCTCTCCTGTGTGGACTCTTCTGTGTACAGTGAAGTGACCTGAATGTGAGAATGTTTTCCCACAGTCCTGACATTCATAAGGTCTTCGTCCTGTGTGAATTTTTCTATGTATCTTGAGCTGACTTGATTGGGAAAATGTTTTCCCACATTCATGACATTCATAAGGTCTCTCTCTTCTGTGAACTGTTATATGTCGAGTGAGCTTAACTGACTGTGAAAATGTTTTCCCACATTGTTGACATTCATAAGGTCTGTCTCCTGTGTGGACTCTTCTATGTACAGTGAGGGCACCTGAATCTGTAAAAGCTTTCCCACAGTTCTGACATTCATAAGGTCTCTCTCCTGTGTGAATTCTCCTATGTCGAGTGAGCTGTTCTGATAGGGAAAATGTTTTCCCACATTCTTGACATTCAAAAGGTCTCTCTCCTGTGTGAACTCTTCTATGTACAGTGAGGTTACTCAAATTTGAAAATGCTTTCCCACATTCCTGACATTCGTAAGGTCTCTCTCCTGTGTGGACTCTTCTATGTACCGTGAGGGCACCTGAATGTGAAAAAGCTTTCCCACATTCCTGACATTCATAAGGTCTCTTTCCTGTGTGAATTCTTCTATGTCTAGTGAGGTGACTTGATTGTGAAAATGTTTTCCCACAGTCCTGACATTCGTAAGGTCTCTCTCCCGTGTGAATTCTTTTATGTAACGTGAGGACACATGACTGGGTAGATGTTTTCTCACATTCTTGACATTCGTAAGGTCTGTCTCCTGAGTGAATTCTTCTATGTAACTTGAGTGGACGTGACTGGCTCAATGTTTGCCCATGGTCCTGACATTCATAAGGTCTCTCTCCTGTGTGGACTGCTCGATGTGAAGTGAGGCGATCTGACTGAGAAAATATCTTCCCACAGTCTGTACATTGATAAAGTGTCTCCCCTGTGTGGATTTTTCTGTGCTCTTTGAGAGCAGTTAACCGTGGGAATGATGTCCCACATTCTTTACATTCAAGAGGCTTCTCTCCTGTGTGTGTTCTTGTGTGTCTTCTAAGATGAGAAAAGTGACAAAGGGTCTTTAAACATTCCTTGCATTTATAAGGCCTCTGTCTTCCGTGAATTCTATGTCTAATGAGGTGCCTGGACTTTGAAAATGCTTCATCACATTCCTTACGTTCATATCGTCTTGTGTGAATTCCTCTTTGTTTAACGAGGTGATCCGACGGTGAAAAGATCTTCTCACCTTCCATACACTGAAAAGATCTCTCTACTGAGTGAATTTTGGCATGGAGAGTTATAAGAGCAAGTCGAGGAAATGTTTTCCCACACTGGTGACATTCATAAGGTTTCCTGTCTGTATGTGTTCTCGCATGTCTCCTTAGGCATGACAAAGAACGCAAAGCTTTTCCACATACCTTACCATTATAAGGCTTCTCTGCACTGTCAATTTTTCTCTGTACTGTGCTGTTTGAAGTAGCAGGAAGGGGGGCAGAATAATAAAAGGGTTTTCCCTTTTCAATACACTCATAAAGCTTTTCTAGAAAATTAAACTCTTCTTTGGAAACTAAAGGGAAAGGATTCCCACAGGTCTCAGCACATTCTGAAGGTTCATGTTCATCTACCACATGGATCTAAAATGAAGAGAAGGTACAGAAATCTTTGCCACATTTCTTACATTCATGGCTGGTGTCACCAAGGTCACTCCTCAACAGGTTTATGTCGACACGGTTGCCGGAATAACATGGAAATCTGATGTGCATGTTCCCAGGGTGAGTGTCTTCAATTCCTTCACATACCTCATGTACTGTTGTTCAACTTCTGAGAAAAATAAATATCATACAGCTGTAAGTGAGCGTGTTCCTGTAGGCCCACAATAAAACACGATGAAGATGTGTGAGTTTAACTTCTCAGGGTCTCAAATGACTTCATTTAGCAAAAATATAATTCCTAGAACTGCATTTATAAATCGAATTCCACTTCCTGATACCTGTTTCCAAAGTCACAATGTTTCTCATGAGTATTTGTTGTGTTTTGGTATTGTTTTTTTCATTTTCCTGATACTCACCTCCAATAGTTCTCTTTGAGTTTATGTAGATTTTCTTTGCCACACAGTTTTACTGTTTTCCGTAACATGGAAGAGCAAGGGTGGGTTGTTGTTGTTGTTGTTGTTATGTACCGTCGACTCGTTTCCGACTGATAGCGACCATATACAACAGCCCTAAACCCTGCTCTATCCTGCGCCAACCACACCGCCTCTGACACACCCATCCCGATTACCCCAGTCACCGAATCAATCCATCTCA